ATACAGTTCTTAGAGAAAATCTCCAGTAAAAAATGTCTACATGCAGAATAACAGTAGCATAGATTAACAAAGCTGACAAAAGAGTTGGACAAACCTTTGTCTAGCTTTTTTAATATTTCAGGACAATAGTGTTAACAGCAGACTACAACAAAAACATCCAAAGTTTAGTAATCAAGCAAAATATTCAGGTATCTCCAGAATTATAAACGTATGAAAACTATAATAGAAAACATGTATGGTTTCAAATAGAAAATTAGCATATCTAGTGAATATTGTATTTAAAGAATATATTTTTATTCAAAACTTTTGTGCTTCTACTCCAATACTAACCATATAGAAGCATATGCATTTTATAGTATTTGCAAGATTCCGATCAAATGTACCCACAATTTATAAAGATTATTAAACTAAAATAAAACATTTCAAATAACACCTGCTTTTATGTTAAATATGTTTTTATTAAATACACAAATTAGTCTCAACCACACTTTTTTTTTGTATTTACTTCTAGTGTAAAAGTGACTACTAATTCAGTCTTTCAAGTTTATTATTTATAGAGACCAGCTACTACAAAATATCTTATTGATGATAACTAATTTCTCTTTAATAATGGTTTTGTCCAACACCTTTTTTACAATTTATCCCAAGCAACACTATGAAAGAATTAAATCCTGGATTTACAGCATTCACTTTCGAGATGCGTGCAGTCACAATGTAGTTTAAGATATAATTTTCACATGAACACTTATTTACCACAGCACAAACGCATGTACCTATTCATGTAACATTAAAATAAAGTGGAAACAAATTGCATAATTTGGTATATAAAAAAGTACAAAATGTTTTTAGTTTTAATTCGACATTGGACTACGACTACGAGGAAAACAGTGGTTCATTCCACTTGCACCATATTGACATTATTATGCACGATGCTCGTTCAAACGAACATCAGAAAAGTGTTGCCAACTTAAGCTGACTACTATTTCCCCCCTAGCCTCAGTCACCCCCTCATCCATTTACTGGGTCTATGTCGCGACCCCCCTTAGATATACCAGCCCTGGTGACTACTATTTCGAAAAAAATGGCGTCCAAAATGGACTCCTATGTCGCGACCCCCCTTAGATATACCAGCCCTGAGAGATAGCTAATAATGCAATACAGAATTAGGCATTCCAAACAAATGAATTACCAGTGGGCAGGTTTGGTATATCTAAGGGTAGCGACATATGGTGTATTCTATCTACTTTACGTAAAATCATGAATAATGGATTACATTTAAATATTTTATGTCAAACACAATAAAAATAATATTTAAGAAACCCACCTATACATTTCTTCATAAATTGGCAGGCTTGACGAGTACTACTTCGAATAAAAATAGCGTCCAAGTTGCAAGACTATGTCGCTACCCCCTTAAATATACAAGAATTTCTCACTGGCACCTATTGTTTGACAGGTCGTTGGAATGCCTAATTTATTACCAGAAAAATCAAAAAACAAGTATAAAGGTGTATACTAAAATTTTCAAGATTGGTGTTACTCGTTTACAGAAAATGTACCTTTGGCATATTTTAATGAACTTAGCAAAAAATAGAAAGCATCGTCCCATGGACTTTCTACTCCTTGCTAACAACATAAATAATGGAATTAATATAGAGAATTATTCAAAATTACGTGCATTTCTTAAACGTCAATCAGAGAAACATACCTAAAAAGGCAAAAACATTTACGCCAGAACAACTTAATAATTTCATAAATGAAGCTACTGATAAGATATCTGGCGACAAAGGTAATAGCTTTTACAAAGATTCAAACGTTTTTATCATCTATTCAATTCAATAATTCTTTTTCGATACTTGTATCTTAGTATTTATTGTTATAGTCGTAGATAAAGTATAGTATTCAACTTGATGAAACTTCATCTGCGTGAGTTATGACCTGCATTACCGCTCGTTAAATAATATACTATTTTCCATCACCAAATTTTAGAACCGTAACCAAAGATTATGGATGAGGATAAGTAAGGAAAGTAAGACAAGTCGAATAAAATTTGAGAGGCGTCGTCTTAATTTTAAATCATGCTAAAATGAAAAAAACCAATATTTGGTAGTTAAAAGCACATCACGAGGTATTTTATTTTTTATAAATTAAAAAAGCTTTCTCAATAAAATATTAAAATAAGTATTTTATATCTATCCCAGCTCATTCCATTGATAATGTTGACTTAGCTGAAAAACTGTTTGTAAGAGGAATAGTAGGTAATTATTTTTGTAATTTAACGTTATGAAAACAAACTAATTTTAGATACGCCTTATACAGATGTTCCTTTTCACGGATGGCACAAAATTGATCGAAAACATTTTGAATTAGAAATTTCATCGAAAATTTCTGGCACCAATAGAAAACCAATTAAAATAGTTCATTTTCAGTCACGTGTATCAATCAGCATATCCAATCAGCTCTGACTTAATAGTCTATTCTGTATCATGCAGTTGCTAGCTAGCAAGTGGCTTAGACCAAGATCAGTCGTTATGTTGCCACTTTGAAAAAATCGGAATTTTCTAAAGTAAAATCTGTAACTAGTGGTTATTAAAGTGGATTTCGAGTGATTTAGAAGCAGTCAAATATTCTTGGTGCCTAAACATAACAACTAGTTTAAGTATATCAAGAAATTAATAGGAGGTATAGATAATCGGAACTTCTATCATATTTTTTTCTAATGATTTGTTTTAGGAATAAAGTAGGACTTTAGCAAAGCTTACTTTTTTCTGCTTGTAATCTGTATCTGTAAGGTGTGTTCCCCTTAGATTAGGTAGGCCCTAATAGCCTCATTGTGCATCCTCCAGATGTTGCCTTTCAGGTGAGATGTCTATAGGGATGTCTACCTCTCAGATCGTCAAAAGGCCTGCATATCTATTTGAGACACAATTGTATAATACATTTTGCTGTATTAAGTTTTTTTTTTTAAATTTTAAACCAGTCCACCAACAAAATGTAACCATTTCTAAATGATAAAATTTCACTTCACTTGACGTCCCGGAACTTCTGACTCGAAGGTTAAGTTGTTAAAAGCCTGATCTACACCACACTTAAAGGTGTAATATTTTTATAGTAACCGTATAACAACTTTGACAAAAGTAGTTATTCTAGTATTTACGGTTGCTATAAAGCTGTATGTGTCGTGTAAAGCAGGTTTTTTTAACAACTTAACCTTTAAGTCAGGAGGGACGGGACCAATGAGGTTTATATCTTCCGGTCATGGACGTTAAGTGAAATATAATTTATCATTTAGGACTTTTTATATTTTGTTGATGGACTGATTTAAAATTAAAAAAAGTCATAAATATGTCGTAATTGTAAACTTTCATCAAGACAGGAAAATTTATTGTGCAATTTTATCGCAAACAGGCATTCAGACCTTTTGATGATTTAAGAGATGGTTCCCATAGACAGCTCTGTGACGTTATATATCAACCAGCAGACGTTTTGAAGAGCTGAGAGACAGGTCCTAAATTCCCCTGAAGGATGCACAATAGGCCTATTGAGGCATAAGTGACATGGAGAGCCACCCCTCCTTACATATACAGATCGCAAGAAATAGTATACCCTTTGCTGAAATCTTACTTCATTCCTAAATCAAACCATTAGAGAAAATAATATATTTATTTAGTTCTGATATCTATTATTCTATCAGTAAATATACCTTCCATTAATTTCTTGTTCAATTAAAATATTTATTATCCAGGGTTCATAATATTTCTTTCTTAGCAACTAGCTGTTACGCTTAACCATCAAGAATATTTGGTTGCTTCCAATTAACTCTGAATCCACTTTTGTAACCACTAGTTGTTACAGATTTTACTTAGAGAAATCTGATTTTCTCAAAGTGGTAATACAACAACTGACCTTGAGCATAGCAACTTGGTCGGTAGCATAACTGTATGATAAAGCATAGACTAATTTAGAAATCGTGAATACTAGAATAGCGACTTTTTTCAAAGTTGTTATATTATACATTTGCTATGAAAGTGGTAAGATAGCAAGTGGTTAGAAACTTGCCAGATAACAACTATAGTTACAGAATTGATCCCTTACACTGATAAGTTCCCTAGGGGTGTAATCATTTAAGTCAATATTGCACCAAATAAACCATTATGTATGAACTATTACATCTATTTTTTATTCCGCTAATGATAAAACTCAAAATTGGACGTTTCGTCTAATAACTGTTTTAATAATTTTTTATTAGAAAGGCTAAAAGGTGATACCGACTTAAAGAATGTACAGTCAACACCTTATGGAATGTACAGTCAAGTCTTTATGGACTGTAACTAGTAGGTAAGTTACTTTTTATTAAATAAATGAGAAAATATGCCAAACATTTTCTGACCGAATACATTGATACAGTGATAAATACTCCTAAATTTTTTCCAATACCTCAAGCACGTTTCTTAACTTAACTACCAAGCAACGTGCTTTCGGTAAATAAAAAAAAAATATTTCGAATTATCGCTATCTTTGGGATTTTACTACTCAAAATACATTTTATCGAAAATATATTCTATCGAATTGCATTTTATTGAATTACAACTATCGAAAAGACAATAGATCTAAAATTCATTAGATTGGAAGGCCAAGATATCGACAATCAACGACTCTGTCACGAATTAGCGCGTATCACTATGGATGAAGGGTTGAATTAGAAAAACCAAGTCTAATTTCAAAATGAATCCTAATATATGTTTATGTCATTTTATAGTGATATTTCACAAAATCTTACTTTGAATAGCGATCGTAGAAAAATACATGCGTTACTTACATCCCAATTAATCTTTAGGAAATGTTACAGGATCAAATTCGGCTTGTTGAGCGTTAGCATTGTCATTAGAGATAATAGTTTTTGGCGGTGATGTCACAGGAGGTGAGAAGAACTGCCAAGGCTAAAAATATTTACAAAAGAGTTTTCCTCCACCAATTAATACTAATAAGCAAAATGATACCTTAGCTCCTCGTAACGTAATATTCAGTAATGTAGGATGTTGGTCGACTACTAAGAATCCAATTTCTTCGGGAATGTAACCGTCAGCATATACCTATTTGATAAAATAGAAAAAGAATAAAGTTAAGTTCATTGTTAAAATATGGTGTATGCAATACAAATAAATGCAATAATAACAATTTTTTTTTACAACGCCTTTCAACAATTAATGATGAAGGCACTATTTTGTTTCTACAAATCTATATAATATAGAAGGCTATATCTATAATATAAAAAATTGATCCATAAAAAATGTTTGCAAAGTAGGCCATGACCGATAAAAGAGGAGTCATGTCCGTGATAACTACAAACGCCTCTGGATTAAATTCAAACTGTCATTTGAAAAAAAAGAAAAATTGTACGCTCCGACATACGTGCATTTTTACTTGGCCTAACTTGGAAACATTTTTTGTGGATCACTTTTTACAAACATGTAAATTCTTAAATATAATGAATGTCTAATAGAGTTGTTTTTTAATAAATATATTTTAATCTTAGTCAACTGACATTCTTTATATGATTTTCTAACGACATCGTATCTGTTTAAAAAAAAAAAATTCCATTTCGAGCAAAAATTGAAAGCAAAATCTGCATATTTTTATGTGGAAGAACGACATATTACTGTTTCCAAAAATGCTGGAATGCGGTTGTGTGGTTTTTTCCATAAGAGTGACACAAATATAATTGTGTTCCGATCATAGGCTCTTACTGTCAATTAGGCAAGATCGTCAATTTTCGTAAGTTTTATTAAAAATAACCTACGAACATTATTTTCAATAGTGACACAAGTCAAATTAGGACATTATTAATATGGTGTGAAATAAACTTTTCTGCAAGATCTTCATGTTTTCTTAAAAGTATCAAAACAAACTTGTGATTGTTTAAATAAGTATAAGGTGAAACTCTTTCAAAATTTTTAAAATGCAAGAATATAAAAAGCCTTACAGGAAAGAAACAAGAAACTTTTAAATTGGATACCCTCGAAAATCTATATTTTTCAGTTATCACGAATGCTATTTAATTTGTTGCTGATTTGATGAAACATCATCGCATTTAGTTGAATTTTACTACTCACAGTAACAGCCGTATGCATAGTCGATCGCCAGCCACTCGCCAGAGATTCATTTCGGCGTATCGCCAGCGATTCGCTGGCGATCCGCCGGCGAAAGCCCAAAAAGGTGGCGACTCGCCGGAGATTGTCACCGGAATGTCATTTCACGCAAGTTTTCATTTTCTTTTATAGGGATTATCACCGGTACCTCTCGCATTTTATTCATGATTCATTTCTTAAAACTCAAAAAATAATGAACGAATATCAAATTTTTCCCTATAAAAGAACATGAAAACTTGCGTGAAATGACATTCCGGTGACAATCTCCGGCGAGTCGCCAGCTTTTTGGGCTTTCGCCGGCGGATCGCCAGCGAATCGCTGGCGATACGCTGGCGAGGCGCTGGCGATCGACTATGCATACGGCTGTTAAGTTTGATTTATTGAAACATCACGACATCGTCCAACTTTACTTTTTTTTCTAAATAAAATATATTTAAAAACGCTTTCTGTATACGGATAAATAATGAGATGTTTGCCAAAACTAAAATGGATCTACTTACTTCCATCTTGTATTTGCCCGGTAAGAGGATCCTCCAAAATTCACCGTACTTTGTAGTCTGGAAACCAACGTCACGCGATTTTATTTTTAAGGATGCCTTTTCCAATGGGTTGCCGTTTTCGTCCATCACGAATCCTTGAACACCACGATGTGCTTCAGCCAAATATTTAATCAATGCCTAAAAAATTTAATTTATGTAGCTATTAATATAAAACTGCTATATATTTACATTCAATCAAGTAAATGTTTGAACGTACCTGTTTATTATCTTCCCAATATTTCGGTAATTCATGCGCTGGGGGATATTTACAACACGATACTTCCAAGGTAACTTCCATACATCCGTACCAAACATAATTATAATCTTGCATACCTCCAGTTAGTGGGTACCATTCTGCTCCATTAGTGATTCCCTAGAAATATGTCGATGGCATAAAAATATTTTTCTACGTTCATGCAAAAAACAAAACTTTATTGAACTATATTTAGTGAAAAAACTGGGTCTTTATTGCACTAGTGCAATAAAAATTTTATTGCACTCATCTGTCATTTTACTACAGCGTTTTATGATCATGACAAACATAAATATTCAAATAAACGCCAAATATTTAGTCCATTTTCATTTTCTGTGTTACGTTCTAAAAACAATTGCATATTTTATATTATTTTCAATCATTTAATAAATAAATTAATAAAAACATGTATTTTATTAAAAAAGTCATTACAAATTATAAACACAAACGTAAATAAATGCCTCAAACAAAGGTACACGATCACGGCTACTATTTGGATAATACAACTGCAGTTCTATAAAACATTTTTTGGTTTTTGCATGAACGTAGAAAAAATATTGTATGCAACTCGTGCAAAAAGTGTTTATTGCACGTCGCGTGTACTAAACACTTACTTTTTGCACTTGTTGCATAATTAACTATAAAACAGTTTAAAATAAAACTAAGTAATAGAAAAATAACTCCGACCTTTGTAACTATATCTACTATTTCATAGGAATAGTATTGCTATTTCTTAAACGGTAATAGATAGGAAGTTGGTTAAATTAGACAAAAGTTGCACAGTTTTGTACTTATTAAAATGGTGATATCTAGAGGGAGATCCAAAATATCGAACAAAAAATGAATGAATTTAAAGAAATGACAATTTTCAGTTTTCGTCCGATATTTTGAATCTTACTTTTGTCTAATTTCTAACTTTCAATCTGTTACCGTTTAAGAAATACTGTCCCTATGAAATAGTAGGGACCTCGTATATTTTTGAAGATATAAACTAGAGAAATTATACTTTTTGTAATAGGAAACTTTCTTCGTCTAAATTTTAGTATTTGACAAGATCTAAAACTAAAGAAAAGAATATTCAAAAGACCAAATCGAGATGAACTGCAATAATAGACCTTTTCCGTGAACTGCTGATCTCTATTACTCATGCGCAAATTCTACTTCCGCTTAAATTCATAAAAATTTATGTTTCCTACCCTGAGTTCTAATTATACATCCGAATATGTCATTTTGTTTTTGCTTTTGATAGTATTGGTGAGTAGCTAGTGATTTTTAGGTAAGTTATTTGCCAAAGGTAAAATTACAAATATTTCGTTCATTTTTACCGTGTAGAACAAGGAAAGAGTTTGCTGCGCAGCGATGGAGCCCTCGACGATGACGTTTTAGATAAGCCTGTGTAGAAAATGCTGTCATAGAAGCGCAAAATTTTTAGATATTATTTACATCAAAAGTTAGTAGAAAAAGTTTTGCTACCAACTTCTTGAAATTAGGCTCACAGTACCTTCTTGCGCTTGCTGACAGGGCATTTCACCGCTAGTTCGATTGCAGCAAAGTATTTCCATCTTTTATAGGTTAAGAATAAACATTTGTAATTTAACCTTGTGCAAATGTGTACCAAAAAGTTTTAGTGGCACCCTACTATATAGAATCGATGAAAGTTGTTTAAAGTCATAGTTTAAAGTAACGATGACAAAGTGTAATCGTTGTAGCCAACCCAACAGTTCTAAGGCGAGGATAAGAGAGAGATAGCATAAAGTGTTTGGAAAATTTAATGACGAAAAACTACTAGACTAATCTATTCATTTATAATTAAGCTCTTTTTTATTGCAATCATTCAGATTGTGTTTATTATTACGCAGAAAGAGCTGTCGCATCGGCTGTTGCATTAGAAAGAAAAAGACAGCTGCCAATTTGAGTGGGGATCACATACTTTGATTACTATAAGGTGCAAGAGAGAGGTCCGACACGCCCAACATAGGGCGCGGCCATTTTGATGCATTTACCACAGTTTATAGGTAGCTAAAGAATCAGTTCGCTGACTCTGCGTCGGCACTTTTGATCACAATGTTCCAGTTTATACACTGCGCAACTCGGATAATACAATATATGACAACCGCCTATAATAAAACAGCAGTCTTCTGCGCACCCTGAATTTGTATCCCTGGAGTGGATGTTATTTTGGAATTTTCAACTGGTCCGAGTGAGCTAACTGATTCTTTAGTAATAAACTGTGACTCCAAAAATAATATTTACTGACACTGACAGCAGCAAGCAAAAAGTTGCGTTTTAATCATCCGCTTCTGCTTCCGGAATTGTCAGTTTAGTCGTTTTAACCTGTCAGATTAAAACAAGAAAATCGACAATTCCGAAGCAGAAGCGGATGATTAAAACGCACCTAATAAAAATATTGCGCAAAGATGTAGGCAACACGTAATAAGGCATCAAAATGGCAGAGTTTTCTATCTCCTTTTAAAAGGCACTCAGAAAGCTGCGCAGTGCGACCATTCTCCGTATAGTAAGAGAACATCAAAGTATGTGGTGGGGATGCTTTGTGCGAATGAATCAGCATTTACGTCTACTACGCTTGCTTCACACTGCTCTCACACTTCAAAATTAAATGCGCAGTTTCCTGAAAAAATATACAAATATAAGAGTTGCAACGAGAAAACATACATTATACTGATAATAACTAGTATTAAGAAAGCAAATATGCTTCTTCAATGTAATTTTCAAAGGCTTTTATGTGCTTTATGTTTAGTCAATGCCGAACAATACTCTCCCATACTATCTCAAAATAATTTGACACCGTGAATGTTTGCAATGCGAGTTTTGTAGTCTAGTGTACTTATCCGTCGTTGGGAAAATTACTAGATTCAAAGTTCCCGTACTTTTTTCGCGCATGAGTAATGCGAAATTGTTGAATTCTGGGAAACGTCAATTGTTTAATTACCAATATAGATTCTATGGCTCGAAGGACCATGTACAGATTTGTATTCCTACGTGGCAAGATTCTTTTGTTTAAAATTACTTGGCAATCTAGAGTAGGCACACTAGTGAAGATCACCCTCATCCTTCGCAGTATGCAAAATGGCCTGGGTTTATAATTAATTAAAAATAATATCCCTGTATATGTAAGCTTGGGAGGATGGGTTGTCACACATCACTTATGCTTCACTAAATCGTTAAATTACTTTTTTAGCTAGTCAGCTTGCCTATAGATTTTATTCTTGTCCTTGTTCAAACTTCCTACAGAATGCGGAGTCTGACAGCCCCATGCTGTGCTGGTTCTTCCGTATCTGGCAATGACCAGTCAAAGTGCCTGTCTAGTCATAGTCAAGCATTTGTTTGCTGTTGTGTTGCCAGGGTAACTTAAGAACTCTCTAGAACTCTTGTTTCATCTCACCTTTCCCTGCATTTTACAAGGGAATTTTCTTTGTCACAACCGACGTTGTTAGTCCAATAAATAAATTGGAATGAAGTCCGAGAAGAATTTACTACGAAAAATCATTATTTCTGTGTTCCGAGGAAAAGAAAAATTCATTGGTTAAACAATTAACGTTAAAGTAGATGAAAGTAGATTAAATAATATTTAAAAATCCATTTCTCATTTAAAACAATAGATAAACAATTTACAAATAAACATTTAAAAAAAAAATTAAATATCCCTTATATAAATTTTCTACTTACTCTTTTAAATGCAGTACGTGATGTTTTACAAGACACCCCACTGCTCATTTTAGCATGATTTGTAGAATAGGTGAGTGATAAGTGCTTGAAGATATCGTCATCAGGTGTTAAAGATGGCGCCGAATAGCTCTGGAAAACTAAAAATATTAATGTAGGTTTTCTGGTAGGTATACGTGATTGTTACGTATTTGATGAACCGTGATAATGAATAAAAACTCATCTGACTGCAAAAGTGGCATGTCGTATTTTTTGCGTGCTACTGGTGGTTGGGCACAGAGAAGGGATGTGAACAAGATGCACTATGTCCCGGTGGTCGGAATATGTAATCTGTCAAATTCAAAGTAACGTGGCCTACCGATGGATTTTTTAAGTTTTTTATGGCAATGAAATAATTTGCATCTAGACGTCTATAACAATAAAATTTTATCTTTGCTACTTCCGGTGTAAAGAAATCCCTATGCTTACATCGAAAGCAGCAAAACCGGACGACAAAAAATGCTTGCAAAGAGAATTTTTTATTGTTATAGACGTCTAAAAGCATATATTTCCTTGCCAGCAAAAAAGGAAAAATTCATCGATACGCAAGTTTACTTTGAAATTGACAGGTTACACGACAGCTCCCACCACCGGGACATAGTACATGTTGTTCAACCCCCCTCCCCTGTACTCAATTACAAATAGCAAGAAAAAAACACGACGTGTCACTTTTCGCAGTCAGATGAGGGACTATGTGTATGTATACTGGAACTTCAGGTTGAATAAACAGTCAACGGGTGATTGCTATACTTTATTATAAATATATACCAACCCCTAAGAAAAAAACTGCGAAATTTTGAATGCCGAATTCATGTTGTGATATAGACAAAATAAAAAATTATTTGTTATGGCTTCCTGTAAAAATTATATTGATGTACATTCGTAGTATTTTAATACATCTACTTATTATTAGACTTATTTCCGGCAACAACATGCATTATTGAAAGGAATTTATGCATATTAAAAACCTACGCTTACGATCTAACTTGACATGACAAAATCAGAATCGTATGAACTTGATTTGTAATATTTACATATAGGCAGATTCAAATTAATAATTCAGTTAACTCAGACTTTAATAAAATAATAGAGGAAGAGCGGTAGGTCAAACGTATTTGAGAAGCAAGAACACAAGGACGGACCAAAAATATGGGGAATGATCAGTAGATAAGAATACTTAAAAAGGGAGAAACGTAATAGGACGAAGTTAAAAATAAAGCGAAGACTAGAAAATAATGTGCAAAGTTCATATACTATACGCTACAGAAGAGTAGAAAAGGCTTTAATTATACGGGGTGACAATTTAATAATTAACAATGGGTATATTAAAGATGATATCAGGAAATGCTTAAAACTGTTTCTAGGGTACAAAAAAAGAGTAACCTCCTACTTGTTAAACCATTGGAAAGTTATTAAAAATGCTTCTCAACAATTTAAGTTATACCCTATGTAGGGTGGTTCAATTGTACATAATAATTAAAATTCTATTTAAAAACACGATAATACGCACTATCAACACCGTACCTGGTGGGTATATTCAGATCCTCGTTGGCTCTGAGGTATATCCCCAAAAAATGAAGAGAGGTAAAAGTGGTATTTATACCCAAACCTGGAAGGATGGATTACACTGTCCCAAAAACATACCGACCAATTAGTCTGACATCGTTTTCCATAAAGATTTTGGAAAGGCTATGCGAAAGGTACATAAGGGATGCGGTGATTACAACAACATCACTACACCCAAACCAACATGCATACAATCCAGGCAGATCCACTGATTCAGCCCTTCATCTAGTTGCTGGCCGGATAGAAAGATCCCTGGACAATAAGGAGTCCGCCTTGGGTGTTTTCATAGACATAGCAGGTGCTTTTGATAAAACCACCTTCTCAAAGATAATACACTCACTAACCAACAGGAATGTTCCACAAATGGTTAGTGGGTGGATATATAACATGCTCTCAAAGGGAGCAGTAAACTAAGTGTAGAAGATGTGAATATAAGAGGCTTGGTTGCGAGGGGATATCCACAGGGAGGGGTACTATCACCTCTACTGTGGAATATGGTCCTCGACACCCTCATCAGCCGCCTCAATAATGACGGTCACTACACAATAGCATACGCAGATGACCTAGTCATTCTGCAAACAGGGAATTTTGAGAACATACTCTGCGAAAGAATGCAAGTAGCTCTAAAAATTATAGAACAGTGGTACAAGGACCATTCACTGTCTATCAATCCTAAGAAGACAGAAATGGTCCTTTTCACAAGGAAAAGGATGAAAATGGAATTAAAACCTCCAGAACTCCTAAACACAAAACTAAACTTTGCAACAGTGGTGAAGTACCTAGGTCTCACTTTTGACAGCAAGTTAACATGGAACTCGCATTTAGAAAATAGAGTTAAAAGAGCATACATTGCTTATGAATAATGCCGCCGAACCGTGGGGAGCACCTGGGGTTTCTCCCCCAGAGTCGTCGCATGGACTTAAACGGCTATCATAAGACCTATGCTAACATACGGTGTAGTTGTCTGGGTACCGAAAACCCAAAAATTAGCAGCTATTCGTAAACTAGAACAAATTCAAAGAACAGCATGTCTCAACATAACAGGATTCATGAAAATAACACCGACCAGAGCCATGGAAGTCATTCTTAGTCTCACTCCCTTTGACATTTACATCAAGGTGGTTGCTCTGACAACAATGACACGCCTCCGCACGGTTGAAATAGAACCTAATATAGGATCTGGTGAGGCGAGACGTCGCTTTTGGCAGGAGGCGCTCGATACGCTTCCACTGCTTCAAGCGAACATGGACTCTATCTCACCGTGATATATCTTCCATAAGCCATATAAAGTTATAATAGAACAAATAGAAGAGCCAGAAGTAGCAGGTACGATTCATATCTACACCGGCGGTTCTAAAACAAAACAAGGCTCAGGATGTGGAATATACTCCAGATTCTTAAACCTAAACATGAAATGGGATAGGAACAATAGTGTCAGTGTAGTTCAAACATAGCAGCAAAATAAATAACCAGAAACAATATATCACTTGAAGGAACATGCTCATCTATACAGATAGCAGACAAGCACTACTCACCCTGAACAGACCTTGAATTTATTCAGGATTAGTACTAGAATGTCACGAAGCTTTGGCTGAAGTATCCATCAACAATGTGGTGAGGATCAAAGGTCACGCCACATCGAAATGTAACCGTCTTACTGATTCACTAGCCATGAAAGAAGTCAACCAAATACTTTTTGGACCTGGCTCTTCTATTAGCCTGACAAAATCGGTAGTGACAGACTTAATTAAAAAACATTCCCTTGTGAAATTCAAGGAAAGATAGGATGAAACAAGAAACTGCAGAGTTGCCAGGGAGCTCTTAAGTTATCCTAACAACACTGCAGCACACAAATACTTGACTAAGACTAGACAGAATCTGCGCCTAGTCACAGGCATTCTGACCGGTCATTGCCAAGTACGGAAGCATCTCCATATCATGAGGCTGTCAGAATCCGCACTCTGTAGAGGGTGCCAACAAGAAGATAAGACCATCGAGCATATCCTTTACGATTGCTCGACGCTCTTATTTTTTAGAAGATTTGTGTTCGACGAGTATCGGCTAACACCGGCCGATATAAGAGAAGCACCTCTTGGCGACGTTGTCAACTACATTAAATCTGTAGGCTGGCTCACGAGCTAGGAGGTGCCTATCATGTTAGGAGGATGCACAATGGGCCTAATGAGGCCTAAGTGCCGTGGGGGGTAACCCACCCTCCACACGTTACATATACAGAAGCACTATCAAGTTATCACACACACTATAAGAAATAAACAAATTTAAGCTCACCAACCAGAAAATTTTGAATTGTTAATAATTACTATCGATGACAACAGACAACACAACAAGGCCAATTTTGCCAACTGATGAACTAATTTTAAAACAAAATTGATAAACTAACTGAAATTAAAAAAAAAACAATGTTATAATTACTATTGCTAGACACAAATTTCGCTACTTAAAAAAAGGTCTTTCCACTTCTACAAGGGCTAAAAATCCGATGATGTAGCGAAATTCCGCTACTCCTGGCAACACTGAACAGTCCTACATACACCTTTTAAAAATTTCCTCTAGAGAGCGTATCACTTAGCATGAATCTCGAATTGTTAATCAATCTGAAAGTAACGGCCCTAAATTACTTTTAACGTAAAATTGTCAAATGTCTACTTATTTAATGTAAAATCATGAAACAATGCAACTTTATATTCAGAAAAATCCAATTTCATGAAGTTTATGTACATTAAAAAAATAAGATTTATGTTAAAAAATTTTCAACTTTTTTCTTTATACCAGTCTTTTTTCAGGTGCTTAATTATATACCTTACATTTCTTTATATTTAAATTTAAATATTTAAAATTCTTAAATAGGTAATCAATCGATCACTGATCAGTATTTACTACAAAGACAACCTTAGTTTTGACCTTAAAAATATTCTAATCATGACAATGAATTATTCAATTGGTATATTCTATGTTTATATTTAATTCTTAGAAACTGTTAAATGCAATGACACTGTTCATTTAAATGTTAAAAACATATTCCATCGACTAATTTTGGAAGTAATAGAACAAAGAAATTCTTAAAAAAAATACCAAAGTTGGTATTCCGGCATTGGGAGTTTTGTAATAAATAGCTGTTAAATACCTACCTAGCACGTATAATAAAAAAAATGGTTATTTATTATTCGAAGGATGAATAGTTTGGGTGCAAATTTTTTTTTTATGAAAATAAACAGAATAGACAGTTCCCAAATTTCTTTTAACCAAAAAAATTGGATGTAATTAAGTAGTCTTTATTTAGATAGATTTTGACAGACGATGTACTGTAGTGATTTGAAGAAATAGAACTAATTTGTTTTTCGGAAACCGCCCTTAATATTTTGGTTTTCGAAACATTCTTAGATTGGGTGTTGGAGACAATTGTAACTTTTCAATTTTTTTCCTTAAATATTAAGAATCTGACCGGATCTGGCAACATCGCGTCCTGTTCCAGAAACTCGGCCATTTGTTACGCCATATTAGTGTGAAGTTATTTTCCGTTCACTGACAGTTTTAACAAAAACATCATTGAATTTAACACGTTTTTACTGTTTTTAGTTTCTTCTAAATATTGTTTACAGGTCATAAAACATAATTTTTCTAATTTTGACACATAAAGTGAAATTTTTTGTAATCGCAGAAAGTGTCAAAATGATTACTTACGCAACCAGTTGTAAAATGTTGAATATTATAAAACTGGTTTCGAAAAATTCATTACGTCGCCATTTGCGAAAAGAAAACAAATAAAATAAACCTTTTTGGTTTTAAAATTAATAATATACATTGTTATTCAAAGTTTATATCTGAGAAGGGCAGGTTGACTTATAAAAATAGAATTTGGTTAAACTTACAACCTAGTAATAATGTTGTTGTGGTTATTATTTTCCATTTCAAATCAGCACAAAATAATTAAAACACAATATACGACAAAATAACCCACTTTTTTTTAAAAACTAAATAACTAATAAACAATATAAACATACTGAAAGTCGTTGAGAATAAATAATTAATAATGATGTTCTAATCATAGTTGTAATTGTCAATAAAATGATGCAAATGCAACTAACAATACAAGAAAGTAATATTGCTTGCCTATATGTCAGTAATGTTTAACCAAAACACAATTTTATTCAAATTTTAGTCAAAATTAGAAAAAATATTGTATGTAACACGTTACGAAATGCCGTTTTATGTACCTCGTTCATGTTGCGGGACCTCGCTCTGTTCGTCCAGCAAATATTCACTCGTTACATAAAATAAGGTATTTTGTAACTGGTTTCATAAATAGCTATTAAAGGTATGTAATTGGTTACTAAAGAATTACATAACTATGTATGTTATCTACTTTCATTAAGAATATATTTATTAATGTTAAAATACTATATAATTTAGATTTGTCAATCTTTAATGTAAAACTTGGCACCAAAAATATGACCTTTATATTTTCTTTTTTCTCAGAATGTTGATTAAGAATATTTTTATTGTTTCCATGCGTCGTGAGTTACACAATGTGTGTGTACCGCTAGTTTCATATCTTTTAATTTTTTGGCTTAGTTTTTTAGAAATTCCCTTTATCTTTATCGGTTGTAAGCAGGAAGGGTTAGGTTTGGCCCAGAACACTGCGGCCTCTTGGGTCTATTGTATTCCCTACTTTCCCCATATTCAGGTACTATCTTTGGAATAGTCCTGTGTCTTTGGTTAGTTTTAATAGATTCCCAACCAAGTGTTCCTGGGGCTTTCTTTCCGATTCTAGGCCGAAAAGGATGAAACGTCGCCTAGTAAGAGCTTCGCATTCGAAGATCACATGGTATGAGGTTTCTTCCTCTTCCATGCAGAGTCTACACGTAGTGGGATCATTGTGTAATCCCATCACATGAAGATGTTTCAGCAAGCAGTGCCCCGTTAGTAATCCCACAATGGTGGATATCTGAGGCCTTGCGAGATGTAGTGCCTCAGCAGCCATGCGTGGGCTTGGTCCCCTTAGCATGGCTTACTGATTATGTGCCCTCTTATCCGTTGCCAATGAATTTGGTGTTTTATGGTTATCCACCTATTCACTGCCTATCGAGCAGAGGTTTTGCTTATCCCAAATACAGGTTCGGGTCCTGTGAATGGTAGATCTTATCCCTCTTTGGCGAGTTCATCAGCCTTTTCATTTCCTTGGATACCTTTGTGCCCTGGTATCCACGCTAGTTTTACCTTGTTGTGGGTTGCCAGATCATTTAGTATTCCAAGGCAGTTCCAGACAAGCTTTGACTTGATTCTGTTTGAATCAAGAGCCTTAAGGCTGCTTGGCTATCTGAAAGAATTAGGATGGTTTGTTTTTTGTACTTCCTTCTTAAATTCTCTCGTACACACAATTAGATTGCATGTATTTCAGCCTGAAATACAGTGGCATGTTTTCCCAGTGAGACGATGATGTCGCATTTGGGTCTAACTCCATGTACGCCAGAGCCTGTGTTCATCCGTATACCATACGAGACTGCTAAGCATGTATTTATCTATCTTCTTATTTACCTCGTTCCAGTTACAGTTGACCTGGAAGAGTCTGTTAAAGGTTAGGAGGGGTGTCATGTGATCTCATCCCATATTTAATATAGAATCATTTACCTCATGTGTTATTCTGGTATGTTTTATATGTCCCAGTGGGTTCCAGTTGTTGTAGGTTTCCAGTCTGTATGCATTCATTCTGGCCTCCCTCTTATAAATAGGTCAAGGGGTGGGAGGTTTAGAATGATTTCCATAGAAATTCCATAGTGTTAACTGCTTCTATCAGCAAACAGCCAACAATATTTGCAGTATTAACAGTCTAGCTCTAGCTTAATAAAGTAACACAACCACATACGGTCAACAAATTGCCTATCATTGGTTTTTTGAAAAATCAATAACTTTTGAACTGCATGACTTAATACAAGTTTTTGGAATTTTCTCACTTTCAATGTTTTTATCATAATAACCCAGTAAGATATTTTTTTTATTAACGTTTTTAGTATTTTCATTTCTTCAAACTACACACAAATGCATAGAATGATGATTTTTGATCTCTTTAATGGCTATTTATGCAACCATTTACGAAATGCCTTATTTTATGAAACGAGTGAATATTTGCGGGACGAGCAGAGCGAGGTCCCGTAACGTGAACAAAATCCAAACGCTTTGGCAACTGTGTCAATAACTGACTCACTAGACAGCTGTTGACATTGAACATAGTCCCTCATCCTCATCTGATTGCAAAAAGTGACACGTCGAATTTTTTGCTTTTAATCCATTGCAACAATATACCACCTAAAGCAAATTTACTTAGTTTATGAATTAAAAATGCATGATTCACTCTATCGAAAGCCTTGGAAAAGTCGGTATATATGGCATCTGCCTGACACTCCAGGGCTTACGAAATAAATGTAGCATAGGTAACCAAGTTTAATACTGTTGACTTGCATGCGCAAAAGCCAAATTGTTGCGGAGTCATAAGTTAAGTAGTCCGTTATGATGCTTTTAAAGAGCTTTGGGATTATGCTAAGTATAGATATGGGACGGTAGTTTCACATTTTTTACCAGACTTATATATTGGTGTGACAGTAATCCATAAAATCTCCCGTATCCAATGATTTGTTAAAATTAAAAAAAAAAAAAAAAAAAAAACAGGACGAGACAATATGAATCTGCATTTCTCAGGAGTCAGAAGGGAATCGCATCAGGGCCTGGTTCCTTTCTCGTATCAAGTTTAGCTAACTTTTCGTAAATAGTTAAAATTGGAATATGATATGAGCATACATTAAGTTCGATTTAATGTTACATTGCGATGACTATTTTGACATTTTTTTTCGCGAAAACCCGGGGTAGCAGCTATTTTTAAAATGAATATTGTTTTTTGCATTAGATGAGAATTCATATATTAACCAGTTTTAATACATACATGTATTTGAAAAACACCCTGTATATCCCCACAAAATTTTAAAATGTATCCTTACTTACTAGAACATAACGCTGACGATCTACATATTCCTTTTAGCAGCAAAAAAGACTTAATAACAAATCACTTTTTAAAAAGATAATCATAAGCATAATTTGTATAGTATTATTATTGTTGAATTCTGGAAGAACGCTATCTTACTTACGGGAATTTGGAGTGCTATCGAACGGATAACTTGCCACCAAGGCTCCTCCGTGAAGACTTCCGGAAAGGACGAATTGAATTTTTGATATCCATTCTTTAACGGCTTCTGTTTCAGGTTGCGTCCTTTTGTTGTTTTGTTTAAAATAGTCTGGGAAGTTTCGATTCAAATCGAAACCTCTAGCGTTGTACCTAAAAATAAAGAGATAACAATTGTGATCATATAATCAACTTCACAAAACCAAAAGTACTGACAGGATTAAAGTCACCACTGTCACCAGTACTGAAAGGAGTTAAGATTCCATTTGCTTAAGAGGTCAAATACTTGGTCATCTTTGACCACAGGTTAACATGGAATCAACACTTGTAAAAAGTCACTAAAAGAGCACAACTTTCTTTAAATTATGTCGAAGGTTGTGTGGAAAAAATTGGGGACTACAACCGAAAATGTCCCTATGGCTGTATACCAGACTCATAAGGCAGATGATAACAACCTACGGGTCGGTGGTATTGTGGCCAAACACTAGGAAAGCTGGAGCCATTCGACAGCTCAATGGTATTTATAGGCAAGCATGCCTGAGTACCACTGGAGCTATGATAATAACTCCAACAACAGCTATAGAAGTCATGCTAAACCTAACATCACTACATATTCATTCAAGGCGAAGTCTCCACGTCTGTTACATACAGACTGAACAAAGGTTCATCACCCATAAGCAGTTTGCATGGACGTGACTACAGCGAGCTATATAAAGAGTTGGAGAACGACCAAATAATTGGAATGCCTTCAGACGGAATGCTCCCAAAGTATAGCTTTCAAAAGCAATATAAAGTAAGTATACCAGACAGGGAAGCGTGGACGGGAGGACCTCCCATTCACACAGAATTCACCTGGTATACAGGCGGCTCCAGAACCCATGACGGTTCAGGAGTAGGTATATATAGTACCAAGTCAAAGACAAGAATACCACTGAGCTAAGGTAAACATGCGACAGTATTCCAGGCAGAAATAGCAGCAATACATCACTGCGCAAAAGAGGTATAAAGACCGAAGGTAAATGGAAAAACTATTGTCATATACTCAGACAGTCAAGCGACGTTAAAAATACTCAGTTCTATGCAGGTACACTCAAAGCATGTGTGGGACTGTTCGGAAGCCCAACAGAGCTGGGTAGTTAAAAAATACTAACCTTAGCCTGGGTACTAGGCCACAGAGGACATAAGGACAACGCAGAGGCTGATTTTATAGCCCGGGAAGGAGCCTCAAAGGCTCTTATTAGCCCGGAACCCCTAATGTGGTCTGACAAAGACAACTATCATGCACTACTTGCACAAAGCAGTGAATGTTTAAAAAATCTCAGGAGTGGTGGAAAAATTCACCAGGACAGATAGAGGCCAAAAAGTTCTTAAAAGGACCATCGCTTAAACTCACAGAACATCTACTAAGCCTTAACAGGAATAATACTAGAGTAAGTAGGTATATAGGCTTAACAAACATTTGTATGATATCGGTCTGACAAAAGAGTCCTTGTGCCGATTCTGTCAGGAAGAGGAGGAAACTGCAGAAAACGTATTGTGCGAAGATCTATCAAGACTGAGTTGTATAGTCTTGTGTCTTAGGATAGTTTTACTAGGTTCCCTACAGCCTACCAATTGTTTTTGAGACTTTCTTTCAGGTTCTAGACCGAAAAGGATATGTTGCCGTTTTGCTAGAGCTTCGCATTCGAAGATAATGTGGTATGAGGTTTCTGTCTTTTCCAAGCAGAGTCTACACGTGGTGAGCTCATTGTTTCTTTACGTAAAGGTGTTTCAGCAAGCAGATGGGCCTTGTGAGCTGTAGGTTTTCTTGAATTAACACATTTATTCCCCTTGGACTTTGGACAAACTATTAATTTTTTAAAAAAGATAAAAATTGTGACCGTAATGACAATTCACCGCACTTATCGAAAATTTGATCTCCTATAGTTCCAAACCCTTTCCAATAATCGGTTTTAACTTCAAAACAAAGTTGAAACTCAATGGGAAAAGGGTCTAGAAGACAGATGAGATTGAATTGCATATACATATGATTCAAAAATAAGTAGGCATTATTGTGGGATTCGTTAGACTCCTGAATCAAGTCTACCCTGAAGATTCAGTCCAAATGTAATGATTCTAAAAAAATATACTCGAGTATACCGTGTAACGTTCGAATATTTGTATTGGGAAAGTTTAAAAATTCAGAATGCTTACCTCCCTTGGCTTCCATCGCACGTTCCTTCTTTTGAGACTTCGAAACCATCTGGATTCATGGAAGGCATTATATGTATCCTTGTGTTATCTAACAACCAACGTATATATGGGTCCGATGAATAACTGGTAACAAGGTACTAAAAAGTTAAATACAATTGTTTTATTATTTTTAAACTCATCAAAATTCGTAAAAACCGCTGATGATTTTGTAACAACATAAAGAAGTGTAACACTGTTTTCTAATTTCTGCAAGTAAATTAAGCCCGAAGATTTGGTTTTGTAGCACAGGAAATTTATAAAGAATTATATCTAAGAGACTCTTGAGTTGTAGGTAAAAGGACATTGAAAACGAGGCAAGTCAAATCAAAAACATAGATTATGACAGCAACATATACTTAAAAATTGAAAATTAACAAACATTTGTTTACAAAAATACTCCGTAAATAAAATTACAACAAATTTAAACAATAGTAGTTTGTGTAACAAGAGTGGATAATACATTGGGCATATCGCACAAAAACAAAGTTTTATCGTTCGTTATGGATAATTTACTCAAATTGAATATTATTTTTTCTACGACCCACTAAATAAAATCTAGAAAATGTAAAAAATCAACTATTTTACATAATCTCCAAGTATTTGCTTCTATCTTTAGTGTTCGGGGATGCTCTTAATAATTCGTAGGTGGATTTTTGAGATTTGTTTCCGAATTTTCAAATTATTTCTACAACTTATTTCACCCTGAATGTGAACTCCACTGTGAATCCCGGATAGTATAATTTTATATAATTAAATTGATTTCTTTGTAAATATCCTGTATCGATTCTTCACTAGAATCACCAATTTTTAATTAAAAGTAATTCTGACAATTAATCCCTCGTACGTTGTCATGTCTTTCTTTTCATTCTTTTTTTTAAATTCACCGTTCAAAAATAAATAACACTAATAGACCGTTAGATAGTGACAGGTTTAAAAACATCGATTTTAAGTAAAATAAAAGGAAATTTACGAGTGGCTCTTGGGGATAACACATGGAAAATTCGATATTCCCTAACAAAAATGAAAGGTTATTTTTTGCTCATATTTACACGCAAGCCGTTTCCACTATGTGATTAATTAATAGAACTAGGCTTCGGAAAATCAAAGGCTTTAATGTTGCAAGTGGCTAAAGAGTTGAAATAAGGACGTAATCTTCTAAGAAAAAAATTGAGATTTTACCCGATTTTTCCACACAAGCCCATCGAATGTATCGTATCGTACATCGTCACTAGTCCGAAAAACATATTTTCTTGAATGACCCGAATGTATAAGTGCATTTTGGGGTCGGAAAAATATAGTGAAAACGGCTTGCGTGGAAATATGAGTAAAAAATAACCTTTAATTTTTGTTAGGGAATATCGAATTTTCCATGTGTTATCCCCAAGAGCCACTCGTAAATTTTTTTATTCTACTCAACATCGATATACTTTTCAACCCTCTTCGAGGTTTGTATGCGAAAATAAAGCACCTAAATCGGTCACTATCTGACGGTTTATAATGTCAGGCAATCTATAAATGTCAGTGTTTTGTTTTCAAAGCCAACTATATGGGGTATTTTAATATACATAGCAGTACTTTTTAAAACAAGAACAACAAATAACGCATCTCAATACTCAGTGACCTAGGTATATTAGTCCTCGATAGCAATGATGTAATTTTCCTTATTTTCGATAAAATGTATATAATCTTGTATGGTGTGTACATATTAAATCATAATGCATAGGTACTACGGGAAATACCGTTCCCTTGATTTATATTTGCTGCGTCTTAAACATCTGCGACGTAAATAGTTACATTTATGCAAGAATGTTACATTGTTTATAATCTTTATTAATTACCTATTCATTTAATTATCACAGTTATCTTCAATAGATTTTTTTATAAACAATGTATTTAATCTCCTTGCGAATACAGGTAGGTATATACAACAAACTATGTAAATCTGTATTTTGTTATTGTATTTAAAATAATTTAATTGTGCCTTCGTTAACTTTGTATCAAATCATTTATAATAGTAAAATTAATAAAGTATATTTACATACTTATTATAGAATAAACAAATTTCGTTATTTACAATTTTAAAAAACAATGTGTGTTATGCATTGAAATCTATAAATTAATTTTCTGCCTAATTAATGATCATCTTGGAACATCCATTTTTAATTCTGATTCAGAATACTACATATACCTTCCATGTTTGGAGTGAGATACCTTTAATATTTTTAAAGGCAATTAAGGCATGTGAAATCTTATTTTAAAGAGTTTTTAATTCCCCAGTCTGTAACATACCTAGTTATTTTTTAATTTTTGCCAGTATTTATGAAGTAAAATACATTTGAAAATTTGACTAAATCACTCCAGAAATATTAACAAAAAAAGTTCAATTACGCCTCTATTATTGTCAAGAAGTCACCGGCACTCAGTTTAAATAAATGTTCCTTTATTAAAACAAAAATGGAAACATCCAAATATTCTTAATAATACTGAATAATAAAGAAATTATTTTTAAAAAGCCTATGGAAACACATCCATAACTGATTTCAAATAAATTTTAGATAATTTATTGTTTAATTGGTCAGTATTAAATTAGTTTATATTTTCACACCAAGCTGTCTAATAACCAGGAAATTGCGAAGATTTTCCCTAAAACCTATTGCTGTAAAATACATTTATGACAGCCCTAGAAAAGATTTACTGCCATGCCAGTATTTCGCTAGAAAGTAATTTATATCCATTTTTTCACACTTTTGGTCCCTCAGGATTATTGTACGACTGCATAAAAAACCTGCTGCTGGCAGAACGAAACTGTCCCAAGGGGCTATCTAATATTATTTTATTTCGGAATATTTTAGTTGATGAAAAACTGTATTTTTGTACTTACATGAATTAATTGAAGCATGAGCTCTCGACTAACAGCTTCATTTCCGTGCATATTGGCAACGTATTTTACGTCAGGTTTTCCGATCATATGCTCATAAGGAGATGCCGATACCACCATAACCCAGAGATCTCTTCCTAAAAGAAAACAGACAATGATAAAGCAAGTTTACCACATTGATATAGTATTTGTAGTATTTCCTCTGTGGTTTATTGAGTGGGTTTTGGTCATTTATTAAAATTGGTTCAAACTCCCAACATTTGAAGCTTTAATATATAGAAAGCGAGGACAGGATCTTGTTTCATATTCCACACAATATTAAAAAAGTTCGATGTTTGATGCAGATTTTTCCTCATTTGATTTCTTAAATGACAGAGGTTTGATCAGACTTATTAGATTCTTAATTCGAAGATCTGGAAGATGCTTTCATTCAAGTGTTTAACCCATTAATTTTTGCAATATCAGGAAATGATTATGAACTAAATTGGAAGGAACTCTGTTTGAATGACAGAAGAAAATGTTCTTAGATGCACTGTAATTTCAACTCTAAAATTGAACAGCTTCTGCCTCAGCTTTGGAGTCATCGAAAGAACAAAGTCGTGGCTGAAGAAATTTAATCCTAGATTCATTAGTATCTCTCAGTAACGGGACACTTTTATTATTAATAAGAAGAATGGTTGAGAGATGAGCTGGGATGAACAGGAACATAACTGTCCCACGTGTGAATTTCCCGTTTACTTATCATCTATCGTTAAAAGAATATGGAGAGGAGTTAAAGTTAAGATGCTAGACATTGATCTGTTTATAATTTTTTCAGATGAGAGTTCCCGGTATAGTTAGTTCCCACTTGAGGGATATCGTATAAATATGTTAATCTTACCTTGAACTGATCTTCCAATAGAGTAGAGAGCAGTTAATGATGGATATCTAGCTGTTGTCTGTCTAAGAAATTTTGTCATTTTGTCATAATTATGATATTTATATTCGATGGTATAGGGTTCCGTGAACGGAGTACCGTCCAGATTTAAGTTACCATTGTTCTCATAATTTCTTTGTTGTACATCAGAAAGAGTGTTGGCTGCTTGCGATTGAATTACTTGATCCTGAACGTTGTCGATAAAATCTTGTTTTGGAGCGAAATCAGGCACACTTTGTGCTAAAACTGCCAAACAATTTGCACAAAGTATCCATATTGCAGCGCTTTTCATTATGGCTGAAAAAAAAATAAATGTAAATTTTATTTATTGTTTCTTTGGAATCCATAACATCCATATTACAAAGACATTTTGTATAATAGAAATTTATTAATTTTTACATAGATATAACTCTACATATCGCTGCCTTTATACCAATACCTAATGAGTAAATGTAATGTTTAGCTATTAGAGCATTTCAGTGAGATAATCTGATCTGTGCTATTAATAATTTATAAATAACTGGTATTACAATCATTCGATAGAGCGTTCACAATAGGTTCAGAACCAATCTTTAACTCATTTCATCAAAAAATTCTAATACGGGGTATTGGAATTAAGGTAGCGATAAAAATTATCGAAGTCAATCTAGAATTAATTCTACAATATCTATTTTAAGAATTAGTAACGAATTTGTTTCAAGTTGACTTATCCATATACTTCCTAACGTAAAAATTGTATTGTTGCTTGGCTACGTGATACATGATATTTCGGTTAGCCCGTTGGATTAAGGTCACCGTGGTACAGTTATTTCATGTATTATTTTGCCTTTTCATCGACTATATGTGTGTACCTACATACATTTTTTATATTATGACATGAATTGCCTCACGTTTACCAACAGATAATTTTTTGAACTTGATTTTTATGATTTCTATTTAAATTAAATGGTAAAATTCGTAACATAACGAGATAATTTTGTTAGAAAGACGATGATAAGTATTGAGACGTTGAATTTTCAGGTTTATGAAGCATTGACCAGGGCCCCTGCAACTGCGAGTGCAACGCGTATACCGCACGCGGGCGCACCTCTAAAGGGGCGCCAAACCGAAGGTCTGTATAAGACATTAAAGAAATCAAAAATGTTTTTATCTCAATTCATGATAATATAATCAATAATATTATCGAAGTTTATGTTCGTTGATATAATGACCTATTCCTATTGTGACAGAAAACATATCTATTTTTGAAATCAAATATTCAATTAGCGTTAATTATTAAATATAATAAAATCAATAAGTTAGTTAATTCTGTGTGCAACATGCAATACCATGAATACCCGTATAAAGTATAAACTTGTCGAGTTTTCCTCTCCAGACTCGAATACTGTACGAACGACGAGTAAGTTTCAAATTAGATCTTGACGATTTTTCCTGTCCAGACTTGAATACTCTACGAACTACGTTTTTCCTGTCCAGACTCGAATATTGTACGACGAGTAAGTTTCACATTAGATCTTGTCGATTTTTCCTGTTCAGACTTGAAGACTCATCTACGAACCACGAGACCACGAGTATAAATAAAACTGCAGGAGGCGTCGTAATCCAAATAATTAATATTTTCTTCGGCTACGTGAAGGTCAAAAACCAAGACGCAAAGTTATAGTTATAAATATTCGACGGAGTGCTTTATATTTTGCGTTAATTGTGTTGTAATTAAATTTTATGAAATGGTAAGTACTACCCACATAATACCTATGTATTCGACTTGATTTATGCCCGATTCGCCTGTTCCCATTTCGCCTGACCAATTAAAATTTCCCGATTCGCCTGACAAGCTCAAATTGTGGTATCGTTTCGCCTGACCATAAGTTGGATGGTGCGTGCTTTTTTTTATCATACGGGCCATTTTCAAAATGCATGCAAAATTTGATTTATAAGGATGATTTGATTTGAAACAAAAAAAAACTGCATTTATTGACATTATTAAGCGTTTTGTACCAGTGTTTTTAAATAAATTATTTTTAAATTTTCTAAACTATCTTGATAATTTTTCCTTTAAATTTTTTTTTATTATACTAAGTTCTTTTCTAAAGTAATGTATAGTTGAAATTATTACTGGAGAAATTTTAGTTTTTAAATATATTTTTTTTTGTTCTGGCCGGTTATTGGGACACATAAAAAAATTCTAAATTCAAATAGTTTATTCGCTTTACGCTTCGTCAATTTGAAAGTTTTTATTTTACTAACTTTTTACTATACTGGGTGCTCTATATTTTCTGTTTATATCAAATTAAATAACTATAACATTTTAATTTAATTTTATGTTCATTTCTTATTATTATTATTCATTTGTTAGTAATAGATTTCTTTACAGCAAATACATATTTATTACCTGAGCAGGTCAGGAGAATCGCAACTATTTTTTTCCGTTTAACATTTAGTCAGGCAAAACGCTACCAAAGCGTACCACATTTTTAGGTCAGGCGAAACGGGAATATACCTTTGACTTACTTCGGATATTAATAAGATATTGTGGAAAATACTACAGAAGTAATTCAATACTTTTCACATCTGAAAATCGGGAAATGTGATTTTTTTCCTGTGTGGCAAATTAGGTCTAAAAATTATTATTTTTTCTGTTAAAGTTTGTGCACTAAAACCTGAATTACCCTCAATATTAAATGCCTTTACCAATTTTTGATCTATTATTCCTTAATTTCTAGAAGTAAAAAAAAGTTAGAGTCCAAGAAAGGGAGAAGATGGCTGGAAGTATGAAACATTTCTTGCGAAAAAGTCAAGTTTCCAACACTGAAACGATAGATAAAGGTGAAAATACAGTTTCTGAAGCGGCGGCACCACCATCTTCTGCAACATGTGAACCATCAACATCATCATCACTTATCGAAAATATATTCTCTATAGAGTCGACCATCTCAACAAAGACGGCTACAAGTGACACTTCTGACGATGAAGTTTCTACTGAAGCGGTGACTGAGAATACTAGTATTCTTATATCAGAGGACCCCGGTTTATGGCCCAGAAGCATTACCAACGACGAAGTCAGAATATTGGTTGATCGTGGTCCTCATTTGATAGGAAACAATTATCAATTTCCAGCTAATAAAGACAAAAGAACATTTTCAAGTAAGTACTTTGTCAGAAAACTAGGAAATGGAGAAGAAGCAAATAGAATTTGGCTCATTTACTCAGTTTCGAAAAAATCGATATTTTGTTTTTGTTGTAAAATTTTCAGTAAGATTTTCAATAGTTTTTCTGATACTCATAGTTTTTCTGATACTCATAGTTTTTCTGATTGGCAACATGTGTTCTTAGCGATAAAAAGACATGAAACATCAATTGTACATAATGTTCACATGAATACATGGATGAATTTAAAAAAATATTAAAATTATCCACAACCGTAAACGATCATCACTTACGGGTTTTAGAAACTGAAAAAAAATATTGGCATGACGTGCTGGAAAGAATTGTTGCAGTTGTCAAATTTTTATCCAGACAATGTTTAGCGTTCCAAGGTTCTTCTAAAATACTTTTTGAATTTGATAATGGATCTTCCTCAAAACTGTCGAGATGATTTCTTCTTTTGATCCTGTGATGAGAGAGCACATTAGTCGAGTGCGAAACTCACAAACAAATTCTATAAAAATGACCCATTATCACTGGTCTACAGTGGTTTTGTTGCCCTAGATATGAAAATGATTTTGGGTCTATTTATGCACACAATTCATGAAACTATCAATGATTTTGTAAGATTTGCTCTCATTTTTTTTTAAATCTTTATTTTCATTTTATATTACAAAAATAGAAAAACAAAATACAAATTAACAGATATATTTATAATGTTAGTTCTGTTGTGAGAAATTAGGATACATCGAAGTAAATAAAGAGGAAAATATCGGAAATATGTTTTATATTTCCATAAAACGCCTTTTATGAGCTTTTCTCTTATAATTTTTCAGTGGACAATCTCTTTTCAAAGACCAGCAGTAATCTGCCATCATGTGACAATCCCATCGACCCTGATACCTTTCCTCCATCACTTTTAGATCTTGGTGAAACCGCTCTCCCTGTTCCTCACTATAATTCCCTAAATTATCTGGAAATTTATCCAGATGATTGCGAAGATAGTGTAACTTAACACTCATATTTGCTCCTAAAGTCTGAAAGTTTGTCAGCATATCTTGCACAATTTCTTCATAATTTGTTGCTTTATGGTTACCTAAGAAATTTTCGACTACCAACACGTAACTTTTCCAAGCTTTACTTTCCGGAACAGTCATAACTTTGATAAAATCTGAGTCTTTTATTAATTGCCGTATTTGAGGACCATCAAATATTCCACCTTTCAATTTTTCCATACTAAGCTTCAGAAATTTTCTGCAAATATAATTAAAACAATCTCCATCCTTGTTTAGAGCTTTTACAAACTGCTTTATCATACCTAACTTAATATGCAATGGTGGAAGTATGATTTTGTCTCTGCTCACCAGTGGCTCCCTTATTACATTGGCTTTACCGACAGTTAAAGAATTTCTTACAGGCCAAACATCTTGTTCCCAGTGAAGTTGCTTCGCTCTAGCAAATAAAGCAAGGGCATTTTGTGTATCCACTTTGTTGGCCTAGTAAAAAATTAACCATTTTTAAATCCACACAGATCGGCCATTCATGCTCCGAATATTTAATTGTCTCTAAAACTAATTTTATATTTTCATATTCTTCTTTAAGTTTCGTTGAATGGGCAATTGGAATTGATGCAAACTTATTTCCATTGTGCAATAAGACACATTTTAAACTTCTTTTGCAACTGTCAATGAAAAGGCGCCATTCAGTCGATATGTATTCCTTTAAACCCATGTCTAAAAGCAGATTCGCGATATCATTACAATACACCAATCCCTGATCGTCACTAAAAAACTGTAATAACTCTTTTTCTCGCGTTCTGTATGTTGTAATTGTTACGGTTGGTGCTAATAGATTTTTTCTTTCAATCTTGAAGCTAACAGTTCTGATCCTTGTTTTGATAAATTGAGATCACGTATTAAATCATTAAGTTCATTTTGAGAAAATAACGTTGGCGTAGATGTTTCACCCTCCCATTCACTTCCACTGCTAGACGGTCCCGATTTCTGTGAATTTGGCAACATCATTGTTTCTGAGGGCATGCGAATTACTTTTGAAACGTAAATAGGCCGAGGGAGATTCTCACTGTGTGGAACCGGACATTTCGTAGACTGTAAGTCTGGGTATTTCCACTTTTGATTTCGATTGAAACCTTT